AAGCAATTCGGGCCATGAGGCGGTCAGGACATTGGACAGAGGCGAGTGTTGCTTCAGGAGATTGTGCCTCTAGGATTGAGTTTGGGGAGAGAAGGGAGCAGCTGATCCTCCTACCCTTCAGCCTGGACCAAGGCCTCAGCCATGAGCCTCCGGTGGCGCCAGGTTTCTGATCTGAAAAGGGACAGTTCTCTGGCTTGGGCCTTCTGACGGGCTTGTTACTCCTAGCCACCCAGATAGATGTGTGTAGTCCCTTGTCCGCTCCCCTTCCCCCACTCCACTTCCCAACCTCCCCCCCAAAACAAAACTAAAGAACATCTAAGACAGAACATTTGCCAAGCGTCTTGGTGACCCAAATTCCTGCCCCGAGGAGAGCAGCCTGCCTAGTTGGAAGCCAATCCCCGGGTCCGTCCGGGAAGGCTCAGAAACAGTTGGTTGGCTCTGCTTCTCGCGGTGGCCAGGGTCCAGTCTCAAGGGCTGTGTGGGAAGGGCTTTTCCTCCTCAGAAACATTTGCATTTCTGCAGCTGGGAGCAGATATTTTCTCTCTTCATCTAACAAAGCATTGTCTTCATTCCCCCCAGGTGCACACACAGCAGACAGACAGGCATGTAAAAAAAGCAACAACAACAAAAAAAAACCACCCACCCACCAACCACACACACAAATGCATCTGCATCCCATGAGACCAAAACTAAGGCTTCAGCACACGCTACAAACACACATCCCAACACGAACATGAGTAGTGTAGATATGCAGCTTGCCTGTTTCTCCGGAGTTATGCCCCAGTCTATTCCACTGCCTGGTACACATCCCTCCCTCCTTGTTGGGGATTCTCAGGGGCATGTCTGATCTACCATGTCTCAGTCTGGATCTTGTTCTTCCTGCTAATCGGCGCCTCCCTCAGCCCGCCCCATCTCCACCAATTCACTGACGCTTTGCCAATGTGCTAGGTGCCGGGGAACAGGAGGAAGCAAAGCAAAGTCCTTGATCTGATGCAGCTAACAATCTAGCAGGGGAGACAGACAATAAACAAAAATGTAATATGCTTACACGGCAAGAGAGAGTATGCAGATTGAAGGAGTGGAGAGAGAGAAGGCATTCTGTCTTGAAGACTGTAGCCAAGGAAGGGCCCTAACGAGGGAAGAGTTGAGGAAAGAGTCTTGAATACGGGGAAGAACAGGCCATGAGAGTGTTTTGGTGAAAGGCATTCCTGGCAGAGGAGGCAGCATGTCCCACGTTCCTGAGACAAGAGTGTGCTTGGCCTATTCAGAACCAACAAAGAATTCCAAGTGGCTGGCGAGGAGCCAGCAATCAGGAAGAATGGTAGGAGATAGTATAGCGAGGGAGCCAAGGGTAGATCGTGTGGCACTCTGCATTTGGAGGTCTTTGAGTGGAGAATAGGACACATTCCAGTTGTATCTTTGATAGTGGAACTCTGGCTGCTTCCTGGAGAATAGGAGACAAGCGTGGAAGTGGGAAGCTTATTAGGAAGCTCAGGCAAGAGGCGGCTGGCTTGGATGAGAATGGTTTCGCTGGAGAAAGCAGGAAGTGATTGGATTGGGGGTATTTGGGGAAGGTAGAGCCCCCCAGGATTTGCAGATGGGTCCGCTGTGTAATACAAAGAAAGACAGACATCCAAGATGACTTCCAAGCTTGTGGCCTAACACCTGTCGCACTCACTAGCACTGCTATCAAGCCAAGGCTGACTCGTAGCAACCCCATAGGACAGAACAGAACTGCCCCCGTGGGTTCCCAAGACGAACTCTTTAAAAGAATTGAAAGCCTCATCTTTCTCTCTCTGAGCAGCTGGTGGTTTTGAACGGTTAACCTGGCAGCTAGCAGCCCAGCTCGTAATCTGCTACACCCCCAGGGCTCTGACCTGTGGTTGGAGGTAGGAGAGTGTTGTCATTTCAAGTCTGCAGAAGAGAACTGAGCTCCTTTAGGTTTTCTTGGCCATGAAGCAGGTCTTCTGACCTTGACCCTGCAGCTCCTCCAAGTGGTTCAAATCACCAGTCTCGCAACTAGTAATGGAATGCAAACCATTGGTGCCACCCAGGCACCTAGAAATGGGCAAAGAGCAGTGTTGTTTATTGAGACAGAACAGTGGTCATGAACAGGTTGGCCAAAGGGAGAGCAAGCGCCCATATCGGGACTTACGAGTTTGAGGGGCCTACTGGACATTGTAATAGAGGTCACCATTCAGGATAGAGTTAGTTTAGGGGTCAAAAAACAGACAAAACCTCAGTGCCATCAAGTCAATGCCAACTCATAGTGACCCTATAAGACAGGTAGAACTGCCCCTGAGTTTTTGAGATTCTTTACAGGGATAGAAAGCCCCATCATTCTCCCACGGAGCAAACCGATGATCTTTTGGGTCACAGCCCAACTTGTCACCACGACCCCACCAGGGCTCTAGTTTGGGAGTCAGCCACATTCAGATAGTATTTTCAGCTATGAGACTGGATGAAATTATCTAAGGAATGCTTGTAAGCAGATCCAACCTGAAAGGGATGCCATCTGAAAGGTGGGACCGTACGGGTAGATCCAGGAAATGCATCTTCACGCTTCTGTTGGCCAAGCCAGAAGACGGAGAGGCATCTTGGCCATTCCCCATCCCTTCTCCGTGGTCTGGTGCTATTCACTTCCAAGTTCTGCTGATTCTGCCTCCACAATACACCCGGAGCTTCTTTCTACCCATCTTCACCTCCATCATCTGGCCCAGGCTACCGCCACCTCATACTTTGACCAGTGAGACTTCTCCCGGCTGACTTCCCCTTATCGTCTAGATAATCTACACTTACTTGTTGGTATTGTGAGGAGCCGAGATGGCACAGCAGGTTACGTGTTGTGCTGCTAACTTCAAGGTCAGCGGTTTGAACCTACCAACCATTCCACAGGAGAAAGATGAGGATTTCTGTTCTTGTAAAGAGGTACAGCCTTGGAAACCCACAGGGGCAATTCTACCCTGTTCTATAGGGTCATCCTGAGTTGGCGATGACTCCGTGGCTTTGAATTGAGTGTTTGTTTGATTTGTTTGTTTTTAACATTAGGAACCTTCTTTGGAGTCCAAATATTTGATTGGAGTCTTGGACCTGGCACCACTTAGTGCCCATGTGAACTGACACAAGTTACTAAGTCCCAAAGTCTCCATTTCTTTTGAACGTAGATGTTCTGCTAGGAAGAGGAGACAGGTTTAGAGTCCCCCACACGTAGCAGATGGTTCGTAAAGGCCACCAATGAGCCTCACAAGCCAAAGGGCCACCTCCTAGTGAAATGAAAAGCCTAATTGGTCAGCTTGCAGAGGTCAAGGGCTACCAGGAAAAGGAGCCCAAAGGGGAGCCTACAAGTGTTACCTCCTTGGGTAGACTCTGCTCGGTGTGACCCTACGAATGAAAACCTGGATTTGCAGAGCCTTATGTGGAAACCATGGAGGGGATCATGTACTGAACAGATCGATTCAGCCAGCTGCCTTTCGTCTCCCACTAGCCGGAGAATTCATGGGGCAGGGAAGGGCCAGCCAGCCAGCCAACCGCCGTGGACTCAATTCTGAGTTAAGGCAGCTCCACAGGGCAGAGGAGAACTGCCCCTAGGGTTTCATTGAGGGCATTGTGTCTGCACCAAAGGCTCCAGAAGACTGGGTCTCTGTTTGTGCTTTCCCAGGTTCCTGTCACACAGAGACCTCTGGGCAGAGGGTTGATAGGCAGGGTGGAAACCGAGACCATCCTCAGAGTGGAGATACAGGCTCAGGGATGCACACCTCCCCTCCCTCCATGGGGTCCACTGCATTAGTCCCCCAGTCACCTCTCCTCATTCCTCAGCCCCAGTCAGACCCACCAGAACCTGCCCCTCTGGGGCTACAGAACTGGGGAGAGCTCAGAGGCCTGGGTTGGGAAGAAGTCAGAGAAATGGAGTTGAAACCGAGAGAGGGCTGGACACCCAACAACTATGCAGGCAGCCCCGCCACGGGTGGACGTCCTAGCGCCTGGATGTTTTCAGCATGTCTGAGCTGAGAGGGGCAGGGTTCGTGAGTTACTACCTTATCATTCTATCCAGGAAAGCACTGAGCTGAGAGCCCAGAGTGGGAAAGGGTCTGCCCACAGCCAGGCAGCTGGTGAGGGGCAGCCTCGAATCCAAGTCGTGTGTCTCTCTCCTACTGACTCTGCTGCCACTTTGTTTTCCTTGCGGGGAGAAGAAGAGACTGAAGGTACAGGGCTCAGAGGACTGCCGCCACTTCCCTCTGGGCCTCTCCTACATCATCCGGTCAATGGGCACAAAGATGCTTCCCTCCCGGCACACCCACTTGTTCAGGCAGCTTCAGGGACTAAATCAGAGAAATGACAGGAGCGGCATCATGAATGGTCTAGCCCAGGACAACAGGACCTCAAAGTGGAGGAGACCCTCAGGGACCCGAGGGTGGGGGCAGGGCAGACAACCCAGAAGATGTGGTTTCACCTTATCATCCCCCCCAGGTGGGGCCCAGGCCTGGGTTGCCATGGATACCACATCCCTGGAGCATCAGATCCAGAGCGTGCAACGCCACATCAGCTTCCTGAAAAAGGAGCAGATGGCCCTGCTGCGTGACCTGCACCTGGAGATCCTGAGGCTGCAGAAACGCTGCTCAGGTGAGGCCAAGAGAGGGGGCCAGGTGGGTGGGGACGGGAGGAGAGGGGCGACTGTCTAAGCACAGCAGCCTGGCAAATGGGTGTTGGCACCCTTTGTTTTTCTGGATGGGGAAACTGAGATTTGGAGACTTGTCCAGTAAGAGTTTCAGGGCAAAGGGGGCCTTTGTCGGGGAAAGGCTGGAAACCACGCAGTGGGAATTTCAGCCCTTTTCTAAGTAAGTGCTCAGTGAGCAGCTCCCAGGCCTCGGGGAAGCCCTCTGTCTGGCCGCCGAGACACACACACTCACCGACCAGCACGATATTAAAACACAGCAGAAAGCAGAGGACCCACCAGAGAGTTTGGGGGTAGGACTGGTCCAGCTTGAGGAGCGGGTGCTGGAGGCAAAGCCCCAGGACGGAGTCGTTAAACTCCTTCAGGATGCGTGAGCTTCCTGAGCTCCAGGGGAAGATGGGGATGCAGAATGCATGCCAAATGAAAGGCGCCCTGTGACAAAGGGCCAGGAACCAGGAAACCAGAGCTGGTGACAAGTTCTACTCGGTTGGTTCAGGGGTACCTCAAAGAGGACTGATGAGAAATACAGTCTGCCTGGGGAAAGTCTTGACAAATTACAGGATAGCTGAGGAATGCGGCCTGACCTCCTAGGGAGTGAAGAAGGAGCCCTGGTGGCGGAGCGGTTGTGTATTGGGTTGCTAAGCTCAAGGTCCCCAGTTCAAAACCACCAACCACTCCAAGGGAGAAAGACGGGGCTTTAAGAGTTATAGTTTAAAAAAAGAGAGTTGGAGTTAAAAAAGGAGAGAGAGAGCGTTATAGTCTTTGAAACTCACACGGGCCGTTCTACCCTGTCCTCTGGGGTCACCCTGAGTTGGCATTGACTTGATGGTAGTGAGTTTGGTTTGCTTTATTCCCTGGGTGGGGGGGGGGCGCAGAAGTTCGTGAGCAGCACAGGGGCAACGAGTCAACACTATGCTACCTTCAGAAACTCGTTCTGGCAGTTGTGTGGGAGGTGACTTGGTGGGAGAGGCGGGCAGGGAGACTCGTGACAGGGCCAGTGGAGTGGTGCAGGCAGAGATGAAGGAACGGAAAGGAGAGGACTAGTGGGACGCTGATTGCATTTGTGAACAGGACAGAGAGAGGAGCCAAAGATGAAGCTAAATCCCAGCCTGGCCTTTGCCCTTGACCTCAGGCCCCAGCTGCTGGGCCTCTCAGAAGCTTGACGCTGACGGAAGCCCTCCTCCAGGCTGAGCCGTCTCAAGCGCAGGCTTTATGGCTGTTTCTTGTGCTTTAGGTGAAGGTTTACGTAGCAAATTAGTGTTCCGGTCAATAATTCATGTACAAATGGTGACAGGTGCAGGCTTTTGAGCCAGTGACTCAGAGAATGTCTCAGCTAGGAGGGCCCAACCCCTTCATTATACATAGCGGTAAACTGAGAGCCAAAGAGCGACCGTGGTGCGGTGTGTTAGTATCAGAGTCAGAATGTGAACCCAGAGCTCCAGACTCTCGGGCCTGTGGCCTCTGCAGTTTTCTGGACATCTTCTCCCCGAGAAGCCCAGACCTCCACCCTAAGGCCCCTTGCAGCCCCTGAACATGGGAAAGTCCTAGAAACGGAGGCCTACAGGAACCGAGTGACCGACCTGTCTTCTCTCAGGGTGGCCTGAAAAGCCAGTAGTCCTGACTCTCAGCTACCACTGCCTCCACCAGCTCCATACAGAGGTTCGACTGCCGCGGCCCAAGATCAGGGTCCTCACACTCTCTCCAAAGCCTGGGTGGCTGCAGAGGCAGGGGGCAGAGATGGGCCTCGCTGACTCCCTCCTGCTCCATGCCACCTTTTCATTACAATCACCACATTAAGGGAAGAGTGGGGTGGGGGTGGGGGGCCGCGGGGAACCCTGTGATCCTACAGCGCTTCCTCTGATCTCTTTTTGCCCTGGGCTCATTCTGAGGACCTGAATCCCTCTCCCGAGCCACAGGCCAGGATCCCCCAGGAAAGTGTAACCCCAGACAGTGTGGGCCTGGAGCCTGTGGGTTATTGATTACGGAGATAAAAATAACCCTGGGCTGGGCTGGAGCAGCCACTCTTGGGGCTAACTGGCTAAATAAGGCCCTCCCTCTAAGGGGTGGGGGAACCAGGAGGGGAAGGGAGAAGAACAAAGAAGATCAGGGGAGGAGTCTCTTGAGGGATCTAGAGGCTAGGAGAGGAGAGCTAGTGTAGGCGCTTAGGGAGAACTCGCGAAAGACGAAAGACAAAGACAAAGACGGTGAGGGCGGAGCACTAAGGGTCTGGAGGCTGCGTGGATCCTTCAGAACTGCCCCCTGGTATCCATGCAGCCTTGGACCCATGGGCTAGTGTAGGTGCCTAGGGAGAACCTGTGAAAGACGGTGAGGGCGGAGCACTAAGGCTCTGGAGGCTGCGTGGATCCTTCAGAAATGCCCCCTTGTATCCATGCAGCCTTGGGCCCAGCTGCCCGCTGACTTTCTTTAATATTCTTCTTGGCAACAGCCACCCTTCCCCGCTCCACAGTCAAGTCCTGTTTTGTCCCCATTTATCAGATGAGAAAACAGAGGCTCAAAGAGGCACCCAAGGTCACACTGCTAGTATCTCTGGCTAGAAAACAGGCAGGGAAATTTGATGGGTAGGGGAGCCCATCTCCCTCCTGCCCCCTATTCTCAGCCTCAAGTCTCTGGTTCAGGCTGAGGACAAACCAGCCACTGAGGAGTTAGGGGCAGGGCCAGAGTCAAGGTCCCTTGGGTTACATCTGAGAGCCTTGGAGCTGGGGCTAAGATAGTCCCAGGAAGCCCTGGGGGGCAGGGGGAGAGAGGCATCAGAGTACCCACAGGGACCCCAGGGAGGAGGTTCAGGCTCCGGTCACAGCCCCAGGCTCCCAGAGTGCCGTTTCCTAGCAATCTTGGCCTCCCCAGAGACAGCACCTCTAGCAGAGCCTCCTCTGACCCACCCTAACCCCCACCCCCAGTCTTTAGAAGATGCCAAGAAGGGCAGCAGGGGAAGACCACCCAGAGGGGCTACGGGCTAGTCCTTGCCATAGGGTGTAGTGGGTGGTGACCCAGAGATGCACTGCCCCCCCACTACACCACCACCACCAAGTTCACAGCTTCTTCTCTCGGGCACGGGGGTTAGAGGCCCTAAGTAGGTCTCTGCCACAGCTTCTGTGTCTCCTGGGCTCCCTCCTGTCTTTTCCCACCCTCTAGCCCCCGTGGAGTTGGGGAGGTAGGGTTGGGGCATTCTGAGGAGGGGGCCGTTCTGAGTGTTAGAGAGTGGGGACTTTGAGGAGAACAGGCAGGGGGGTGGGTCTGGGCCACGGAGCCTGGGGAGATGGCTCTGGCCATGCCTGTGCACAGCTCGAGCTGCCCCTCTCTTCAGCTGCAAGCCCAGCGTGGGCGCAGGTCTCCCCCACCAGGTGGCGCTCTCCTCCTCAAAGCCCCTCGCCCCGCTCAGCAGAACACCTGTCTGCATAAGGGCAGGGCTGATGTGTGCAAAGTAGCAGACACAGCAGTGCTGCCCAATGAAACTAAAACAGGCCCGTTTAAGTTGGCCACAAGCCACCCCTCTAAGTCCTCCTCCAGTGCCCCCCAGCAGCCCTAAGACCCCAGCTTCCCCAAGCCCCCCTCTCTTCTCATCCATCAACCAAACACTAACGGGTCAGTGCCCCACACAGGAAGGGGCTTACCGAATGTTCTGCTCAGGTCTGCAATGCTGGAGATGATAGATACTAGCATACCGCCCTGGAATGGGGAAACGATTCCTCTTCTGGCCCCTCGCTCTCACACTCTCTCTCACACACACACACACACACACCTTGTAGTGAAAAGAGGGCTGAGCTTAGACACCAGCAGACCAGGGGCTCCTCTCTTCACCTTTCCACATGATTGCTCCAGCTCCTTATTGCCACTGTTATTTATGTATTTCATTTATTTATAAATCATTTTCTTGGGGGTTGCCACTTTTACCGAACACACACAACTCTCCTTCTTTTTTTCTCCTCCCCCAGAACTGACCCATGATCTGGAGATGAGAGAGGCCCAGTCTCACCAGCAAGGTAAGAGAGGGACTGCTGATGGGACAGTGCCGCAGGGAGCCGAGCAGGCCATATCCCCACCACCTAGTAGGAGCCAAGCCTTCTTGCTTCCAGGCCTAGACTGGGGACAGCCACTCGTTGGCATGGCCAGCAGAGCACAGGTTGGATGTCACACACTCCCCTGCCCACTGAGCTGGGGTCAGCAGGGTGACCCTGTCCATAGTGAGCAACTTGTACCATTATATACATACAGACTCTGTATCCAACTGTCTGTCCAAAGGAGAAAATGAAAGTAGGAATGGATTGGCTGTGTAACACACACACACACACACTTACACACACACACACACACACACACACACACACACACGGAAATGCATGACTTCTTGCCACTGTAAAAAAAAAACCAACCCAAAATATTAGCTCAGAATATGAACTTCACCCATATAATGGGGACGGAGGAATTTCTGCATGGTTGAGATCTTTTGTCACCAAATAAAAGGTTCTCTGGGAACCAGGACTGAGTGTTACCCATCGTCTCCATTGCCTGCCATGGAGAGGCCCTCCCTTATTGTTGAATTAAGGTGTGGTGGCCATACCCACATCAATGTGTGGCGACAACCCCACATTGCCGCCCAGGCTCCACGCCAACAGGGAAACAACTCAACTGAAGGGCGGGTGTGGTCCTAGCAGCAGGAGCCGTGGTGGAAGTTATCAGATGGCCAGGGGCCACCGGGAACGCTGGCCCTGGGGACTTTTGAGGCCTGGTCCAACGCTGAGCTTCTGAGGAGAAGGCAAATTGGAAGAAATTAATTTCTTTCCTCAAAGCGAGTAAAATGTTTCCCTAAATACAAGGGGGGGTGCTTCGAAAGATTCCTGGGAAAATGGAGTTATCTTCCAGCTCCATTTTCTTTCAACGGAATTTTCCAAGGAAGCTTTTGACACTCCCTGGAATGTTCTAAGAAATAATGGTCCATGAGAGAGTCTGGGATCAACAAGGTGCTTCGTAAGTAAGTTTCGGAAACACTGCATGCCTAGCCTCCGCCCCTCGAAAGTTCTCAAGCACACCAACAGGTGGAGGGCTCTGAGAAGTCCCGCAATCAAAATCCTACCAAGTAAATAAACAGCCTGGCTGACTGGTTAAAACGAATGTTGGTCAAACTCCTGAACGTGGTGAGAGAAGCCGAGGCCTAGGCTTGTCACGATTGCCATTGTAAGGGGCCGAAACCACCCTCTAACAACCGAGGTGTCCGTAGGCGCAATTGTGCCGTCATACTATGTAAAGATTAAAGTCAAGTCCTAGAGAATAGGAGGGACAGGAGAGAAAGTAAAATAAAGGAGTCAGACACATGCTCACCTCTGGGAGGGCCATGATCTCAGCAGCCAGGCCCACGCAGAGAGAGAGAGAGTATATATCTAAACAAGGCTTATATATACTTAGGGGGCATGTAAGTGCCCTCTTCCCCATTACAGGTAATCACATACCTAACAGGAAGGGGCTGTCCAATAGGCATACGCAGGACAGAAAAGAGATGAGCTAGCAGCACACACTGCCGAGATGGGCGGATCTTAGATTCAAGCTGGCAGCCTAACTTTGATCATCCTTGAGTTGGCTTGACCTTGTCCCTGGGCTCTCCTTCAGGGAAACAATCCACTCCTTATCAGCAGGCCCCACCTACCGTGGGACAGACCGTAGGGTCTGAGTGCTCAGGAAGAAAACTTCAAAGCAGCCAACCACCCACCCTGATCTAGCAAGCAGCACCCTAGGTTTGACATATATTTGGGGTACAACCTGGGGAAAAACCCTTTTGCATCCCACACCGACAAGTTGACCTTCACGCATCAGGACCTCATGTACAACAGAAGGTAATCCTGCTGGGTCCCGGGCCACCCCACAATGGTTAGGTCAGATCCCGCTCTAGAAACCCCAGGGGTACTCAGGCTCATAGCAGCTCTGCATACGACAGAAAACACCCTGCCTCGGCCTCTACTATCCTCCCCCTTCTGTGTTCACTGTGCACACTCTCGGGCCCTTACTCTTGCTAAAACTCTCTTGCCACAGGGCTTTGGCACACTCTGTTGCCTCTGTCTGGGGCACCCACCCTTCCCTTTCTCTTTCTTTCTTTTAAAATTATGAATTGAGTGATTTACACAGAGTAGATCATCCATTCAACAGTTCGTCTAGATTTTGCTTCAGCTCATCCAGGGGAGTCCCCTCAATGCACCATCCCTTCTCCAGCTTGCTCCTTGAGCCTCCTGTTCCACGTCGTCTTCTTTCCTAACTCTAAACTTTGTCCTTGGATAAGTGCTGCCTCTTTTTGGTCTTAAAGGGATGATCATTTAAACATAGGGTAAGTTCAGTTCCAGACTTGAACTCACTAAGGGTCATAGGCTTGGGGGTTCCACTGGTTTCTATCCAGCAAGTAAGTCTGGTCTCTCGTATGGTCTGGGATTCTGCTCCACCTTTTTCCTCTCACTCTATCCAGGACCTTCTATTGCAGTGGTTGTCAACCTTCCTCATGCCACGACCCTTTATCACAGTTCCTAATGTGGTGGTAACCCCCAACCATCAAATTATTTTTGTTGCTACTTCATAACTGTAATTTTGCTACTGTTATAAATCGTCATGTAAAATCTGATATGCAGGATGTATTTTCATTGCTAAAATTTGAACATAATTAAGGCATAGCGATTCATCACAAAACAGTATGTAATTTTATATTGTGAAATATTTATGTGTCTTCCAATAGTCTTAGAAGACCCCTGTGAAAGGGTCA